ATGGTAGATCGGCCATAAGGCGCTTATACTCCGCGATGTAGCGCTGGAGGGAGTTTGGTCCGGGACCCTGCGTCAGCTCAAACATTGCAAGCTGTGCATCTAATTTGTGTTGGATCACTGGGGCCAGCGGAGTGAGTGCTTGTAATACTGCGTGGTATGAGTGGAATCGGGTGGCGGGGTCCGAATTTAGGCGCCGCAGACTGTCACCTGTTGGTCCGCGGAGAACTGCCAGGGCGATTTTTGCGGCCTCGGGGCTGTCCACGGGGACACCGGCCATGTCCAGATTGTGCCGCATTAGGATGTCCCAGCCCACTATGTCTGCCCGGGGTTCCTTGGGATCGAAGGTGGGAAAGTCGCGGGCGATATGCAGGAGGTTTGGCGTTGAATATGGTGACCGAGGGTGGGCGAAGCTGGGAACGGGGGCGTAGGCTTGCGAGGGTCCGGGATGAGGCTGCGGTAGGGTCGGCCATGGGGTCGAGTTCGGAAGGTCGGCCACGGCGGCGCGGACGGCGGCGGCGATGGTCTCCTGAAGCGAGGGGACGTATGGTTCGGTGACGGAGGTGGTGGGGACGGAGTCGACGATGGGGACGGTAGGGACGGGGTTGACCATAGGGGGAATGGGCGTGAGCGTCGTAAACGGAGACTCGTGGACGTTGCTCGGGAGTTCCGCGGACCGCGAACGGGATCGGTCGCGGTTGGCGTCCGTGGGAACGAGAGCCATCGGGGAAGATGAAGACGAAGATGAAGACGATGGCGCGATGGCGCGATGGCGCGACGACGCGACGACGACGAAGACGAAGAGCTCGGCGAGGAGGATCACCTAGGCTCTGATACCAATTGAAAGGGAACCAGGCCACACCTAACAACTGGGAAGCGTAAGCCGGCTTTACTTGCCGAAAAACTTGCGTAGGCACAGATGATCGGTTTTCAAACTCAACTTAGACTTACAATGTTCATAATTTGGTCCGCTTAAATAGTCATATTAGCGCGCCATAACCTCACACGTTGTACACGCAAGTTCAAGCTCCACTAGCTCCGAAGATACGACATGGTTTCAGAAGCGCGCGTTAACGAACTGCAAAACATTACAGAGTCACCGTAACCGGCCTTCGGCCTGTCCGGGGGCGGCCCCGTACGGGGCGCTTCGCGCCCCAAAATCTTTACGGGAGCCACCGCAAAGTCCTACGGACCCGTACGGGGATACCGAAAAAAGGCCAAAAACTTACGGGCCCCGTACGGGGTGTCGAACACTGGTTGGGTGTCGGCTTCAAGGAAGCCGGAAAAAGGTCGGGGCCCCTCTGCATCCGTACAGGCCGGTAGCAATCGACATCCGGGTGCATGCCACATCGACATCCGGGTGCATGCCGCATGGACAGTACGGCAGACCGCAAACGGAGCCGTTGCTTAACATGTGAAGTCCGGTGCTGTCTGTGATGTTTAGGTCTTGAAGCACCAGCGGCTACAGGAAAGCACCCCACTGCCGCATGGCTTTGTAATAATTAAACAGATAAGTAAGAGCGGCAGAGTGCAACTCTTCGGAGGCCCCGTGCATTGGCCAAAGTAAATGTACAAACAAGCAGCTTGTGTATTTCATAGAGAAATGAACTGGTGGCAAGTCGGATTGCCCATGCCGGCAAATGGTAACACAAGCTGGGTGTTCGAGTTATCATACAACGTCATCTCAGAATTCCATTATGAGATACGCGGCAGCTTTCGGGATGAAATTTAGCGCGAGAGGCGTTGATGTGACTTTTGAGGTCGGTGAATGGAGGCAGCTAAACTTGTTTGTGCTCATACGGTCTTTGTTAGCTACATGCGAGATACCTCGCAATAGAGAATGCTGTATAGTACCTATAACGCGCTTCAGCCGGGCGAGATATTATGTTTGGTCCGTTACACACACACGAACACACACACACACACACACGGACATGGGCAATCCTACAGGTCGGGGCCCCCCTGGGCGCTTCGCGCTGGGGCCCCGCCCAAAAACAGCGAACAGGACTACCAGGTACTTTCAATAAAAACAGACAGCAAAAGCGTAAAAAATAAATTATGCTGCATTGTCCGATACACAAATCGACACCAAACCGAGAGGTTATCTGCCTGTTGCAAACAGAGATAGATACAGATAGATACACATACATTTATTGGGGCCGCAGGTCGTGGCCACGCTACTACAAAGCAGGTGAGCTTGTTTTGCAGATGGACTCCTTTAAGGCTTCATCCTTACTAAGCTACGAAGGCCGGAAATGCCTTCCTAGTTGCTGTCGCTGGCGAGTGGCTTCGCAGCAGTGCTAAACCAGTTAAACCAGCGTACATGTTGTTATATCACGACTTCAGAAAAATACCGATCGGCGGATGCAGATCCGGATCTGGGATTCTTCCGTGATAAGCCCAGATATTGCGTAGGTATGCGTTGCGTGTAGCACAGAGGTCGTGGTAATGCCGGTTTTGCCGATTTATAACCGGCCAATGGCCCAACGCGAACAAACCGTTCTGCTGTGCAGGATGACTGGATTTTGTAGTAAGTGGGGACCATATACATACATACATACATATACGTACAACGCTGCCGTTATCGCGCGTATGCACGCACGGAGACTCCTGCTTTACTACCGGTTATTACGACTCTATTTGTGCAGCATTTTACTGACGGTTGTTGCTTCTTCTGCTTGCCTTCGGCTGCAGTCCTGCACGTACAATCAACTGACTTTCAAGAAGGAGAACAACTTGGTATTCGATGTGGACATCCCCTGCATTGGAACCGCTGGCAGGTTCAAATATAATTTGAAGACTGGCAGCAGTAGTGGCGACGATGAACTGTACGGCCTTGCACAGCTGGCAAAGCAATATCTGGAAGTAAGCACTTAAACGGCACCTGCCCCCGTGTTGTATCACGCCGTTTTGCAGACAAGACCCGATCGGCGGAGATCGAACCCGAGTCGGGACTGGGATATCAGGTCTCGATACCAATTTGTTGTATCACGTCTTTTTGCAGAATCGATCGGCGGATGACAGATTCCGTGATACCCAGGATACTACACCCGGCGCTTCCTACCTGGCTTGGTTTAGTTATATCTATGCACGTGTACTGTGCAGTAGCGGATACTATAGGGACCTGCCACATGATCCGTGAAGGCCATATAGGCACCTAACTTCCAAACAAAAGGCTTTATGGCATGCTCGCTCGCTTCGCCAACTTGTTGGATGGGTTCGCTCACCGGACCTGTGGCGATCGCCAGCCATGCATGGACGGCGTGCACATGTTGATGCAATCTAATCTAACATCGTGCCAAGAGATTTCCGATGGCTACTGTTTGAGCGCAAGCGCGCTTGGCCTGATATGGTTGCTATGAAATGCGCTTGAATGGGTTTACTTCGCACATGCAGAAAACCAACGCCACTCTCTCCAAGAACTGGTCCACATACCGTCGTAAGATTCTGATCTTCCCTCTCAGCTGGTACACGGACTGGGCCGGATTCGCTGGTATGGTGAGTGCTCTCGTGTGTGTGTGTGTCTGTGTGTGTGTGTGTGTCTGTGTGTGTCTGCGTGTGTCTGTGTCTGTGTGTGTCTGTGTGTGTCTGTGTGTGTCTGTGTGTGTCTGTGTGTGTCTGTGTGTGTCTGTGTGTGTCTGTGTGTGTCTGTGTGTGTCTGTGTGTGTCTGCGTGTGTCTGTGTCTGTGTGTGTCTGTGTGTGTCTGTGTGTGTCTGTGTGTGTCTGTGTGTGTCTGTGTGTGTCTGTGTGTGTCTGTGTGTGTCTGTGTGTGTCTGTGTGTGTCTGTGTGTGTCTGTGTGTGTCTGTGTGTGTCTGTGTGTGTCTGTGTGTGTCTGTGTGTGTCTGTGTGTGTCTGTGTGTGTCTGTGTGTGTCTGTGTGTGTCTGTGTGTGTCTCTGTGTGTCTGTGTGTGTCTGTGTGTGTCTGTGTGTGTCTGTGTGT